TGGTCAGCAAGCCCTGGAATGCCACGTCTCTGAAGAGGTACTACCAATAAAAGCTAAGTTTCGGCTTTATTGGATGTTGTTTGTTGTCAATCAAGTACGTATGAATGTGCAAATTCCTGAAGTTTATAAAAATAACTTTCCTCTTCAATGGGTTGCTAAAAATAAAAAAATAAAAAAAATGAAAAGCCAAGTGGCAAGTGCATTTTAGCCGAGCACAGGCACTTAAGCAAGATAAGTGGCAGCTGGCACCATAAGCCGAACGCCAGACACTTGCTAAAGAATGATAAGCTAAGTGGCAAGTGGCATTCTAGCCGAGCGCCAGGCACTTAAGCGAGATAAGTGGCAGCTGGCACCATAAGCCGAACGCCAGACACTTGCTAAAGAATGAAAAGCCAAGTGGCAAGTGGCATTCTAGCCGAGCGCCAGGCACTTAAGCAAGATAAGTGGCAGCTGGCACCATAAGCCGAACGCCAGACACTTACTAAAGAATGATAAGCCAAGTGGCAAGTGGCATTCTAGCCGAGCGCCAGACACTTAAGCAAGATAAGTGGCAGCTGGCACCATAAGCCGAACGCCAGACACTTGCTAAAAATTTAAAGCCAAGTGGCAAGTGGCATTCTAGCCGAGTGCCAGGCACTTAAGCAAGATAAATGGCAGCTGGCACCATAAGCCGAACGCCAGACACTTGCTAAAAATTTAAAGCCAAGTGGCAAGTGGCATTCTAGCCGAGCGCCAGGCACTTAAGCAAGATAAGTGGCAGCTGGCACCATAAGACGAATGCCAGACACTTGCTAAAAAAAAAAAAAAATGATGAAAAAAGCCAAGTGGCAAGTGGCATTCTAGCCGAGCGCCAGGCACTTGAGCAAGATAAGTGGCAGCTGGCACCGCAAGCCGAACGCCAAGCACTTGCCATAAACAAGCACACGACAAAATTAATATAAAAAGAAAAGAGAGAAAAGGTATATATATATTGAAAATGGGTTTGAACAGAGCGCAACACAAAGGAAAAAGAGAAAAAGAGTTCTGTCATCTCATTCATAATAAGCATTGAGTTTACAAAAAATGAAATATTTAAGTCACATTGTTACAAAAAAGTATGGAATCGAAGAGTCCGGAGGAGTCCTAGCTAGCTGCCTCAGTACCAACAGCATCCTAGTTGTGCCGACCCGCCTCCTCGGCCCCATCAGCCATCTCACCCTCACGAGGTGGGGAATCAAGATGAATAACAAAGTCATTCTGCTGGGGGCCAACGTCAGCAGTGGCTATGGGAGGTACCACAGTTGACGATTGAGGAGCGGTTAGAGGCAGAGTGGTAGGAGGAGCTGTAGTGATCCTTGAGGAAGCAATGTCCTGGCACTCATCAAATATGTGCTCCGCTTCGGTGGGTTCTGGGTCAACATAGACCCCCAGAGGGTCAATCCCTAAATCCTTATCGACCTCATCTGGAGTTGAGCTGGTCTGTCCCTCATCCGGAACTCAGTCGGAGAAACCTTCTCGGAATCCTTGAGCATATCTAAGAGCGCCGACCCTTGAGAACCGAGCATGAAGAGCCAGCATCCCACCGTTCACTCTGCTGATTGTATCAATCAGAGCAGTACGCTCGTCCAGAGCTCTCTTCTCAAAAGCCATCCGAGCAGACTGTTCATCAGCCAGAAGGCGCTGGAGCTCTGTCTTTTCGTCTCTGATTGAATCACGCTCAGTCTGCCAGATGCAATTTTCAAGCTGGAGGGCATCCTTCTCATCCTGAAGAGAGTCGTTCTCCTTCTTCAAGACATCTCTTTCTTGTTCAGTTTTTTCAAGCCGAGCCAATACCTCGGTATTCTTGCTGGCGAGAAGGTCGTTTTTTTCCTTATTGGCCACCTCCAGGCTATCAGAAAACTTACGAGCCCAGGCGTTCCCCATCTCTACCTGCTTCTGCATAGCCATCATTCCGAACAAAGTCTGCATAGATGTACATTAATAATGGTTAAACCGATAGTCTGGTCGGGCGAAGGCAAGACCAAATAATATGAGAGAATTCATGAGTTGGAAAATAAAAGTCACCTCCATGGCAGATTGGGGAAAGCGGCTGAACACATCCTTCTGGGATAGACCTTTCGCCGCCTCAAGGTCTTTCGGAGTCCACATGCTCCTATAATACGCCATGGCGATCTGGCCATCCTTTAGCATGGTCTCGTTCGGCTTCACGAACGTCCCATCCTTTCGGGTGTACCGAGGAGCCCATGGTGGTAAAGTGGGAAGAGAAGGGGAGCCTGAAGCAGAAGCAGAGGCACCAGCTGCAACAGGCCCGGAGGGGGCAGGAGCTCTGACCGGGCGATGCAAGAGAGCACCCGGCCCAGAGACCCGGGTCCTTCTTATGAGAGGTTCCTCCTCAGGGTCGACTCCACTGTCAGGATGAGGCCTTTTGCCTCGTTCTTTGTCCCGAGTGCCCCCAGCGGCAGCAGGGGCTGTAGCGATTTGAGGAGACGCGCTCGGGTTGGTAGCAGGGGTGCTGACAACAGAGTCAATAGCCACCGTGCTCGGGATGGTGTCAGAGATGGTGGCTGAGGAAGAGGCTGATGCAGGAGATGAGGTTGCCCCAGCAGCAGAAGTGGCTGGGGGAGTATTTTTCTTCCTGCCAAAGGAGGGAATCTGAAGCCTGCTCATGTTATAGCCGAGGGATGAGAGCGCTAGGAGGTTGTCTGAAGTGAGGAGGTCTGAGCAGGAAGGAATATCGTTCAGAACGTATTTTTTCAAGTAATTACTCCTATCCCTGCAAACACTGTAGCTCAAGTCATCACAAGGTATTCCTAAGGAGCGGCATAAGAAAGTACAAAAGCGAGGAACGCATGTTTCGCAGGGGCAATCGTTTTTATGAGATTTGAATTTCTTATATGAGGAAATAGAACAGACGCCAAAGGCGCTCGGGATTGGGTAATCCTCTGCAGCCGGCGAAGACCAAGCCCCACTAATGCCCACGATGTTATCCCTCCAACCCTTTTCAGATTTGATTGTGTCCGTACATATGGACATCTTCTCGATCGGGTAGAGGTGGTAGAAGGGCTCGTTAGTTCGGATCTTACTGACCTTATAACACAGAATAAGATCTATGAGGTCAAGGTCCAGACTTCTGTCACGAATCAACAGTAGCATAACGGATATGATTCTAAAGAAATTGGGGTTTACCTGCAGAGGGGATATCCCCAGTCTATTGAAGACATAATTAAAGAAGGGGTGCAGAGGGAACCTAACGACATTCAGTTGAAGGTTTGAAAATAAAACTTCGCCGGGAAGGAGGCCGGCACCGGTCATAATATTAACATCCTTAGGGCAAACCCTAACTTGAATGTTGTCAGAAAGTCTAAGTCTCATACGAAGAACATCTAGATCTACAACCATGGTGGAAGTGTTTGAAGGATCTAAAAGGATAAAAAGAAGCCTGCCGAAAGTAAAAAGGAACAAAACTAACCTCTGAGGTAGAAAGCAACAAAGAGCACTGCAAGACCGCTGGAAGAATGACTCTTGAAGGATTTCACCGGAAAAAGCTTAGCACTGTTCTAAAAAGAGAGAGATTTGACTGATGATGGAGACGGTAAAAAGGCATGAAGTGGTATTCTAGAGCCTTATAAAGGCGAGGGGGACCCAAGGGCCGAAGCGTCAGGAAGGCGAGAAATTCATCGAGCCCCGGAACATTGATTCTGGATCTGACCGTCCGTTCCCCCATGTGGGTTTCTCGAGCCGTCAACGTCATGATGAGACGCCTTCAATAATTACCCCCTTATTAAACAAGGGGTACTTATGGGGGCAGTTGAGGAGGCCCGAGATGACATGGGCCGGATATGACTTGCAAACGCGACATTCAGTCCGTACAGATGGGTCAGGCCCATAGAAAGACACTGCCATATGGGCCAAACGCGCATAAGCCCATCAAAGATGACCGGGACTCATGGAGGAACGGGCCTAGATCCAGCAGTCCATCAACATTTGTAAATCTCTATAAATAGGAGAAGTAATGGAAAGAAAAGGAGAGATATTTTTTTTGGTTGAAATACAGGAATTCTAGAGAGAGAAAGAGTGAAGGAATTTCTTGTATCTTCACAAACATACTCCATTATAATATATATATATATATATATATCCAATTATAATATATAATTTTATGTTATGAAGGCTTAGTCCACAGGCCCATTAAATTTTTTAGTCCTGTTTTAGACCTAATTTTATCATTTATTCATTTTAAAACAAAAACCAAGCCAATCTGTACAATCAAACCCAAACCCATGTCTTATGTCTAACCTTAATCATCTTTCTTTTTTCTAAAATTATTCGTAGCCCAAGCAGCGGCAACACAATCTACTTTTTGTCATGGAATCTTACTTTTATCTTTCTCTCTTCTTATATTTTATCATCTTATCAAGCAACAGCGGCAACACACTTATATATTAATCGTCTTTCATCCAAACTGATTTTTAGTATAGATTTTGGGGTTTACTATTGATCTGTATATCTCTCAACTTCTTCCATCAAAATCAACTCTGGTAAGTTTAATTTTTGATCAAATTTATCACTTTCTTTCTTTTTTCTCTCAAACTTCTTCTTTTTTTTTTTTTTTTTTTTTTTTTCAAATCTGTTAGATGTGAAGTATCACCCAAAAAAAAAAAAATTAAATTAACGAGCTATCGAGCTTGGCTTCAGGCTTGTCGAACATAGCCGAGCCAAGCTTGAACCAATTTTTCTTAGCTCGGCTCGAGTTGAACTTGAGCATTCTATCACTTGAGTCGAGCTGAGCTCAAACATATCATTATTCAGCTTGACTCGGCTCGCTTGCAACCCTACTCATTTATATGTATTTCATTTTCCATCCGTGTTCATTACAGCACGCGTGTCATACAGATTGAGAGGAGGGTCAAAGGTGGTGGGCAGATGAGCCCTAAGCGTGGAATTTGGGGCAATATTGGACTGGGCCGTGGCACGAGACAGTCATTACAATACGCGTTACGTCCAAGAAAAGTCTCTAACGAATTTGATGGGAAAAAACCCGAACCGACTTGTATTTCTAAAGACGGGTAAAAATCTCGTGCGCGCCAATCCTGTCTCTCTCATCATCTCCTCTGCAGGTTGATTTCGTCGCCGATCCTCTGAATTGTTCGTCTTTCTCCATACGCCAAAGTCAAATGGCGACTCCGGCTTCGTCGCTGTTCAACGGCGAGAGGGCCGTGGTTGTCCTCTTCATTTCTCGCGTCCTGTTCGCCACTCCTCTCTCTCTCCTCTACGAAGCTCTAGCTTTCTCTCTCCTCGCGCTCTTCGCCCTCTTCATCGAGATTGTCGCCGAAGCTTCCAATTCCATTGGTCAATTCAAGACCAGGTTCGTACTTCTTTTTCATACAAACGTTTTCTTCGATTTCTCATCATCCGAGCCCTTTAATTGAATTTTGCTTTGCTAGGGTTCTTGAAGTCCTCTCTATGTGAATTTAAGATTTATAATAGCACCGTAATTTGTGATTTATATGAAAATTTTCAAAATTTTCCAGTTAAGCTGGATTGAGGTTGTATTGGGTTTTTGTACATAGTGTACCAGATCCAATTTTATGTTCAATTGGAGTTTGATTTATAGTTTTGTATATATATTTTTTTTATACAAATTGATTGATCAGGCCAGGAGTTCCATCCGGGATTCTGCTAGGGTCGGTTACACTGCCCGGTCTTACGATATCAAGGTTGATACAGCTGTCAAGAGCACTTTCATTAAATGAAGTTGGAGTTGAAGGTACTGGGTTAAATCAATTTGAATTCGGTTAATGGTACAAATACTAAGAAATTGCTGTGCATGAGAAAATAATGTTATGATCAACCAACAATAGCCACTTAGGCTCTGGATGCAAATGTCCAGCGCATCTTTTGTATACTGCATTTTGCATAATTTTAATTCAAAATTTGGGTTCTTGTTTGACATTCCTAACATGTCATTGAAAAGCCAGAGATCTAATATGTATTTCTGTTAGTATTGTAAAAAGAGTATTAATTGTTAAGAAATATCAAATCAAGGGTTCATGCAAAATTTGTTATTATTTTGACCATAATAAAGCGTAATAGGTAAATCAATTACCAACAGGCCTGTGACCTAACGGTATCAAGATCCTACTTCTCAAAGAGAGGTCAGGGGTTCGAGCCTCTGAGAAGGCATGTGTGTGTGAGTACCAACTATGAAAAGAAAAAAAAAAAGCGTAATAGGTAAATCAATTAGAAGAGGAGATGCATATATATACAGAGATAAAATATAGGAAATTGACTAAAATAAGTCAATAGAATAAACCACGTAAGGTGTGTCTAAAGGGGGAGAAAGAAGACTCATGTGGCAACCGTAATTGACCGAGTGGGCTCAGTGTATCACATGGTAGAGTTTGGAGAACTGAACTAAATTCCATGGGGTATGGATTGACCTTACTTGGTTCTAGCCTTGCTCAATTTGGGAAATTTGAGATCTCCATTTTTTGGGAACATTTTGCTAAACTTATGGGTAGAATTGTTAAGTTTCTAAGTAATGTTTTTAGTTATGAGTTCAATAGACCTTTATTTATTTTTTTTTTCTAGGATTAGATTGAATCTAGTTAAGCATAGAATCTCATTTGTTTTTGTTCTCAAATTTATGGTAGAACTTAATTGATTTTTTAGGTGTGATTTTAGTCAGCCCATAAACATTTTATCTTCTTTGCTTCTACTACTACTACTATTACTACCTTCTAATCATTGTTTGAACAAAAACCAACCTTTTTAATTCCTATATTCTTTTAAATACTAAATTCTTAATCTTGATAATCTTGCTTTACCTATTGTCATACATCCTTAGATTTCCTCCCCAGAAATTTTGTAAATCTATTATATAATTATATAAGTTTCTATCTCACTTATCAAAAAAAAAAAAAATTATATAAGTTTCTATCTTATACTTAAATAACTTTAGTTTTAGTCTATCTTCCAGAACCACTTGTCCCCAAAAATTAAGCAATTAGGGGAGGTGACAAATGATGTAAATCAATTTCTCACATTCTTACTTACATGCGATACTTTCTTGCAAGTGAAGAGGACAGACCGAATAAAGTACAAACAAACACCCAAAATGGAGGAACAAATACAAAATGGAAAGATTTGAGATCAATACACCCAAGAATAGAAGCTTTAACAATTGATAGACAAGCACTTTATCATAAAGCTTAAGTTATTAGGGATTGGATCAAACATTATGTGTCAATCTCTTGTAATCTATTTTAGCATATAGTGCTGGTAAACCTCAGTAGCTTGCTTTCTCATTCTAAAAACCATGAAACTGTAGATTGTACCAAGTCCTGGACTGCTAGTTCACCATTTATCTGAAATAGAAAGCAAAGTGTTATTCTAATTCTTGTCCTGCATGAGAACTGTACAGTTAATCTCTTTTGCATCTCTAATTTCTAATTAAGAAGGTTACAAATTGGCATATCGTTATGTGTATGTCTCTGTTTTTATTTTTATTTTTTATAGTTAGGTTCTAGGAGACCACCATTTATATCTTTCACAATTGTTCTTCTTCCAAGTTGATCTTTTGGCGTTTCCATCTTGTCAATCTTGTTCATTATTATGTTATTCTTAGACAGTTGTATTTAATTTTTCCTTCTACAGAGCTTGAATATCTACGGTTGCAATATTGGGCCACGTCTGCCTGCTGCTTCAGTGTGCTTGTTTTCCTTGGCTTTGTTTGTCGCCATACGCCAAATGATACACGCTCCGTTTCTTCGGCTAGTGTTTGGAGGGTGAAGTTTAGCTTAATATGTTTAGCTTGTTACACATCAGTGTGCTACGTGTCTTTTGCTTCAAATTCTCGAAGTGGTAAATTCGTAATCCAAATTTGCTTCAACTTTTCGGACTTGCATGCATTTTGATACTTTCAAGAAGTTACTAATTTGTGTATTGGTTTCTGAAAATTTCTGTCTTGCCAGATATATGTTCACCAGCATATTCAGTTTTGCAGGTCAATGAACAAAATTATTGATGACTTGTATTGTAATATACTCTTTTTTACAGACTGGTATGCAGCATTGAAGCTACTGTGGATACTCTGTCATGGATTTGCAGCAGTGAGATTAATTCTGCATGTGCTTCGTACTTTCCCCTCGTGTGCTTCCATTGGTATGTCATACCACTTTCAACCTCATTTTCTCAGTTGCAGTTAATTTTTTCTATATCAAATGAATGAAATAAAATACAATCAGACAAGAAAATATTAGACTCATTTGAATGCTGATATATTGCATGTTCTTTGATACAGCAGATATTGTAAAATCTTGTTTATCAATAGTTTTATAACCCATGGTTAATAAGGAATTGTGGGATCGTAGTCGATGAATTGACGACCTTCCCTTCTAGTTTTAATCAATATTCTAAATAACGGCCACTAAAGAGAAACGGTTCATCATCATCATCGTTGCCTTTATTGTTAACCTTATCAATCCTCACTATAAATTCATTAAAAGTTACTTAAAGCTCAAATTTTTGGGATTTTTTAGGAGTTTGGCAATGGAAACAATTTACGGCTCCAATGGACGCTTTCATGATGTTACGGCATTACAACACACATCTGTTGCATAGCGAATATTACTATTGAGATTGTCATTAACTTATATGGTGATTATGTGATCATGAATACATACAAATTCATCTCAACTTTGTACAAACAAATAGATAAAGACTTAACAATGTGCATTTTTGGAGTCTTACTTCCCTGTTCTTCTTTATCCTTGTTCATGTATCAAGCTTATCGTGTGGTTGTCTCCTGGGGAAATCCATTTTCTCATCTTAAAAGTGACTGTATATGTTTATTCTTTCAATGTTAAATCCAAGCCCTTATGATGGGACTCAGAAGTTCACAACAATGGAAAGCGACAGTTAAAGAACAGGGGAGAGGTTCATGGAGATATTCAGACATTATCAGTAATTATAGACTTGTAAAGTGAAAATAGTGTGCTCCTTTACTTGGCTACAGGAAGTGCTTAATCAGGAACCGTTCTTTATTCCATTTACAAGTCCCTGGTCATGAGAGAGAGAGGAAAAACATGATTGGAAGAACTTTTCTGAGACCCTTTTTCCAATGAGGTATTGTTGTTCATTAAAGGGATTAGAATTATCTTTCTCTTCTTGCCAACCTTTCCTCAATTCATCTTATTAGTTCTTGTAGGTCAATTTTTGAGGAAAGCTATTCCTCTGTAAATAAATAAATAAAAAACATATGAAAGAATATATTAGGAAACTTTTGTCCATAAAAGACCAAACTGATTCAATTTCTCAAAAATGCTGTTAGACAATCAACAATCACAGATGTTAGTTAAATATTTGAGTATCTCTCTCTCTCTCTATGTATATATATTCAAGCACATTTGTTGTAGCAAGTCAAAACATTGGGAAGCAACATGATTATTTTTTCAATGTCTTTACAATTTTATTTTCCATTTTCAATTCAGAATGTGCATCTATTGTTTTCAGTTTCTTAAACTTCCTTCAGTTTAGCCACTAGCACTTGAGGTTTATTTTTTGTAGTAATTGCATCATTGCTTCATCAACTGCCTTGTTCTATTCGTGAGGGTGTACTTCTGTTTGCTTAACCATTTTCTATTTCTTGTTCTCTGCCCGGTAAGTTTCATTCCTTTCTCTATTCCCAGGGGAAGCACTTCTGGTGACAGCTGGTCTTGTTATATACTTTGGGGACATGTTAGCATGTACAATTTCAAAGGTTAGTTCTTTAAGCTCAGTAGTTTTTATGTCATGGCATTTTAGCAATGTAATGTAAGTTTCACAGAGAATAATGCTTGGCTGAACAGATTCATGGATATGTAATTTCGTCAGATATGATTTCTGTACAGTATGGAATCAAAAGAAGTGAGATAAGCATCATCATTCAGGTATGATTGTTGACATGAAAAGACAAAAGTTGATTATGAATGGCGTAGCTGGATATTGAATGTGCTTCTCTTTCATGCAGGGCATGCTGCTTGGACTTCTTCTTTTTCCAATATTCTTTAAATTTATTGTTCACATTTGGGGATGCATTAGGAGTTTGTTATTTTCTAAAGCTAGGGCAGACCATGAGATCGGAAAATCTATTATGTTCTATGCTTCCCTGGTGTTCATCTTATTCGCGGTCATTCCATCATGGATGCAGTTTGTTCAAGAGTTTCACATGCATCCTTTTTTATGGTACTACTATTTTAGTAATTTATTTCCATCTTGACTCTGGTTTTCTCATTTTTTGTCAAAAACACCACAGTTTACATTAGCTGTAATTTGTTTTCATAATGTTATCTAATATTGAGTTGGAATGGTTCAGAGTTCATTTGGGATCTGTTCGGTTTAGTTTCTAAGAACTTCTTAATACAGAAAATAATTTTCTGAGAACTACAAAAGACTGTTCTTAGAAAACTGTCAACCAAACGAAATTTCAAAATTTTCAGAAAACTATTCTCACAATATATCAAGCATGACGTTGGCCTCCAGGGTGCTAATTATGTTGTACTGCAGCATTTCTTAAAAACTGGGTGAATTGAGGATTTGGGATGGGAGTCAAATCACACATCCATTTGAATACATATTTATGGGGGCTCAGTTCATTGTCATATGTTGCAGATATGTTCTTTTATGATTGTTGTTTGTTGGTGAAGCACTGAATTCTCTGATCTTATTAACATCCGAGGCGCTTATATATGATAATCATTCTGTCCTTAGCCTTGAAGAATCACTTTCAACCACATGCATGCAGTTGAAAAACCTATAGAGATTATAAAAATTACCTAAACTACTTCCAAAACATAGCAGTTGTAGCCATGGAATGAAGATAAGAAATAAAATGAAATAGAAGAATACAAATCAAATGGGACTATTCTTTATGAAATCATAAATATGCCTGTTTGTATTTAAGCCTTATAAGGAAACGACCAAAACCTAATAAACCTTATCTCAACTAAAGCCCTTGGATAATAGATCCCAGTGTGCATTATCGAATTGCACCTTGTGTGCTTGGATATGAAAAGAATTACTTGTTCACTGCATAATGCCTAGAAAGACCAATAGGAACATGCATCACCTGTAAAACACGCAACATCAACTCTAGATCCGATCAAGGCGCTCTTAGATGAGAAACTGCTTTTCATTGTTCTTTCCTGCTCTCAGAGTACTAAAGAAAATATTCATTCTTTGATTTGGAACTCTTTGTCATCTTTAGTGCCTTATTTCTGTATAAACTTACATTTAACAATTCTTGCATAAAGTTTCACCATTTTCAGTCTCAAAATTAGCACCAGACTACATGGTTGTGAGAATGGAAGAGTGCTCAAAATAACCCTTTGTCATGTGAATTTTTATCATTGCGTCAAGCAGCCGTAGCTTTATAATCTATGATTATCTACGCCCACAGCTTTATTTGCTTGCCCTGTAACTATTCTTTCATATTATTAGTAATTAACTTATTTATCATTTAGAAACTGTTTTGGTTTCCAGATTGTGGCCCACAATTCTAATTTGTATATTGTAGCTACCCAGTATATGGAGTTATTCGGCCAGAATAATGTATTTAACTTGCATCTCATGTTTTGTGTCAGGGTAATAAATTTTGTTTTCTCACAACCACTTAAGAGGCTCTCATTGTGCATATACTGGGTGGCTGTTATATACGTGTCAGTTCAACGGTTCTACAATATCTCAAAGAACAGTAAGATTGAGAGGATTCTTCTTCGAAAATACTATCATCTGCTGGCTGTTTCAATGTTCCTGCCTGCTCTTATCTTCCAGGTGATTAGTGACTCAATAATGACCTTTTTTGGCATATGGGTACTACCTTATTTGTTAAGTTAGTTCTTCTTGTAGCTCACTTAGAAATTTTATTGACTATCTTTATGTGCAGCCAAAATTTCTTGATCTGGCATTCGGTGCAGCTTTGGCAGTTTTCTTAGCGTTGGAAATTATTCGAGTTAAGTTCGTTTTTGAACCTCCACATTGTGTTATTCTGTAGATTTTTTTTATGTTATATTAAAGAATAATGATATCTGAGTGTGGGTGTGAATTCTGTCTTCCATGTCTAATACTTTAGTTCTTCCTCTTATGTTGTTTACGGAATCTGGTTCTTATGGTTATTTGCTTAAATCATTTATATTATATAATAAAGACATAAAATTTATGCAATATGTAAAAATGGTCCTTACTTACTTGGTAACCAGGATCTTTAGGTGCATGATACAATATAATTTGAAAGAGAGCACATGAGAAAATATATGCTTTTCCAATATCTTTTGCATGTTGACTGTACCTGTGGTATGTATGTGGGTTTGTCTTCATATTTTAGGGATCCGCTTAATCATACATTTTTTTAATTCGTGAATTTGAAAAATTATTCCGTTGAAGGAAATCGTTTGCAAACTTGGAATTTTTCATGGTTCTAAGACTAAACATGTAACCTCCTTTTCCACAAAAAATATATAAAAAGATACATAAAGACACAGAAAAACACGAGTGGAAATTGATTTCCAAACATGACATATAATTACACAAATACACCAGTCTATATTTATGGGAAATATTGTTGAACTTGTGGCACTTCAGTAAAATATTTTTAGTGAAAAGTTGATAACTTTATGATGTTACAATTTACATAGTTGCCTGCCATTATTCAATGCTACAAATGCTGTGATTTCTGGGGATGGCCCTACTACGGGTGAGCCCACTCGGAAAAGTGATTTTGATGTACAGCCAAGTCCTCTCTTTCTTTTTGGAAAAGATAAAAAAGCGGAGGGAATCTTCATTATTATCTGCAGAAGCTTTTGAACTTGATATAAATATATGGATTTTAGTGTCAAAGGGGCTTAGAATCTTTCTGGCTCCCTTCACCTCTTGCATGGAGATGTTGTGGGTATATTCCAAATTCGCAAGATATGATTAGAAGATGATGTTAGACATTATACCTCGACTATTTGTACTTCAAAAGCCTTGTCTATTTTGCTAAGTCCAAATCATATGGGACATTGCATTGGCATCCTTTCAAAAATTAACTTGAAATTTTCTCTCATTTAGATTGGTCAGCTTCATGAGATCTGTGATGTAATTATCTTTTAGTAGAAACACAGTGATATGTTATTATTCCTCTTACAAGCTTATTGTGTACATGCTTTGAATGATATTATAATGGCTCACAAGTTGTTTTGCACCTCTCTCGGTAAAGTTTGCATAACCGTAATTTTTGTAGGTAGATATGGAGAATTTGGCCTTTAGGACAGCTCGTGCATCAATTTATGAATGCTTTTACAGACCATCGAGATTCTGATCTTCTTATTGTCAGGTATGGCATCTTTTTGTACTTATTTCCTGAATCTGTATTTAGCAATTTGTTTTTTAAACAAGAATTATTTGTTTCCCTTTTGATGTATTTTTCACTTTTCAGCCATTTTTCACTCTTACTGGGGTGTGCGCTTCCTATCTGGCTGTCTTCTGGGTTCAATGACCGACCACTTGCTCCTTTTGCTGGAATTTTGAGTCTTGGAATTGGAGATACAATGGTGAGTTTTCTGGTTGCTATGTTCCATCATGTTGATATTTTGACACGGTTGCTTTTTCAGAATAGTTTCCTCATATGAGAAACTAGGAACATTCCAAATTGAATTACTTCCCAATAATAAAAATCTACTTGCAACGGAAGTTCAGGAAATCCACAAGTCCCTGTGCTTCATAAGGTAATGGGTTCACATGTCGAAATTGCCATATAATAATTTAAAAAAAAACCAGAACTTTAGAAAATTCATTAGAAAAGGGAGGGAGCAAATATTATGACAGAAGTGTAGTTCACCCCTATGTTTCTTTCAATACACGGTTAACACACCTTGAACTTCTATCAAAGAGACAGACATCATGTTAATTTGAAATTTTAACTTTCACAAGGCATTACATACTTTATTAGTATCAAATGCCTATACTCCTTAAATATTTGGGGACACATGTTCAATACTTTCCAAATGTATTTATAATGACTTTTATTATTATTAATATTTCAAAGATGAATTTGATACTTTGCAGATACTCCAAGGCATATGTTCAATACGTTTTAAATATTAAATGTTTGAACTTTCTTAAAGAAGAATTGAGACATGGTGAATGTATATCATGTCTAGTTTAGTTTAATGTTCATGTTCGTGCAAACTCTCAATTTTTTCATGTGATTTGTAATATCATAAGATGGAAATAGAGAATATTTTGATAGATTCAACAAAATAATTGTGCATCTAATTCTTTTTTTTATTAGGGAATGCTAATAAATATAATTATATATATATATAACATGACAAACAATTATTATTTAATATATAAAGGGAATGTTAGTAAATATAATAATATATGTATAACAATTATTGTTCTTATATATAAACGTATATTTTAATTTTCATACATTTATGCATCTGTATTTGATAATATGTAAGTACGTATGTATATATTGTTGTGTCCTGGTTGTCTTCATATTCTGTTAGTTTTAGGATTTGTGGCATCTCCAGGTCCATATCTTGTTGTATATGTAACTGTCTGTGTGTTCATACTTCATTAACTTATGTAAGATGCTGTGATGCCTGCTCTTAATGATTGCTTTCCAGCGACATATAAGAATATAAATGATTCGAATAAAATAGTATTTTTTTTAAATTATCGGCCCTTAACTACTGCAGAAGCCCTTATAGACTTGTACTTCACCCTTTATCCTGTACTTTGTGCTGTTCGTCAATGTGTCTTTCTTATTGAATGTGAGAACCAAATTTCATTATTTATCCTTATCTATTTGACAAATCTGTTCCAACACTAGAATCCTTAATATGGTGCTCTATGATCTTGTAACTTATATGTTCTGAGTGTTCTAAAAGGTCTGAGAGCCTATTCTGCTTTAAATGCAAAGCCCTGTTACCAAACTAATCTAATCCAAATTTAGGCTGGTTGAAGTTGATTTTGCTATAATCTGAAGATTCTCTAGTGTTCTTGGAGAGGGAAGGCATGCTTCCTGTCCACATTAGAAGTTTGAGACTAGTCAAAGCTCAGCTGTGAGTAATGTCTGATTTAGGGGGTTATACAGCTATGATTGCCTCTGGGCCTTGGCTCAGATGGTAAGTGATCGGGTAGGGCGGTATTTGTCTAGGTGTTAGGTACACATCTGACCTAGTAAAAGAAAATGATTAAATAGAATAAAAATTAAGATGAATATTAGAAAAAGGATACAATATGGTGTTGATTTGTTTTATAAGAGAAATGCCTTAACCAGGGAAACAACAACTTGTTTAGGTTAGACCAAATAATTTTCTAATTTGAGAAATGCTTGGCAGGAAATATTGACAAATGTTATATTTATCAATTTGGAAAATATGCTGATGAGAGACTTATCAGATATTTATGATGCTAACAAGAGTGCCAGTATATTGTATTCTTATTTGTGCATCCAAAGTCTCTATTTTGTATGTTAACTGGATTAGTTTACTTTTATTTTTAGGCATCAATGGTTGGCTACAAGTATGGTGTCCTTAGATGGAGCAAAACTGGCAGTAAGTATTATTTTCTCCCTCTGCTGGTATCATGGTATGATTCTTGCCTTTAATTCATATGACGTGCAATTTATCCACTTGATAGAGAAAACCATCGAAGGTACTGCAGCGGGCATAACTTCTGTTTTGGCAGCTTGTTCACTTCTCCTTCCACTTCTAGCTACTACAGGATATATTGTTACACAGGTCTCTCTCTCTCTCTCTCTCTCACACACACACACACAGAAACACACTTGCACATTATAGCATGCACGGGTGTGCGCATGTTCACGCACATCATTGCTTGTTTACACATGTACATAGATATTGGCATTCCAGTTTTGCAACCGATGCACTTGTAAAGATCCATTGGAACCTTGTTTGCTCAGGTGATTGAACTGGCTTTAATTGTTTATGTTTCTTTACAAAGGAAACCTGCAATGGAAGCTTGATTTGCCACTTACACTTAAATTTGATGAAAAATGGTAACAAGAATGTTGATTTGGTCACTCACCCTGGATTCAAAAGTCCTGGTCAAATGCTTTCTTCACAGCCTAAATTAAGTCAGGCTTCTGTGTGCATTATTAGCGTTCATGCATAATTTTCATGCACATCTATGTCGTCGTTGGTGTCAAATACTAAGTCACACACGTCAATTTACAATCAGAAATATATCATTGTCCCATTCTTGTATTAATTAAACTACTCATGCTTATATGTGCCCTTGCTCGGTAGAAGCTTTAGGGAAACTCAATTTATGACTGTGATGGATGACAATTTTGTTGTATTTGATGCAATTTGCACAGCATTGGGTGTCTCTTGTGGGAGCTGTGACCGTGAGTGGTTTGTTGGAGGCCTACACAGCACAGCTTGATAATGCCTTCATACCCGTTGTCTTCTACAGCCTTCTCTGTCTGTAAATGCGGATTCACTAATACTTCCAAATAATACACAGATGAATAATTTTACAGAGGCAATAACCACATTTTCTACAAGATCCAGGGCTTTTTTGTTATTATTTTTAGGAGAATACGAGAATTGCGAAATCTGTTCTACATTCTTGTATCCGAGGTTTTGTTGGCTTTTTGGTCTAAAGCTCAGCTCTAGCCAGTCTTCGTGTGGTATTCTACTAAGACTTTGTGTTCAGTATACATATGAAGGGTCAAATCCCTATACACTTGTGTCAGTAGGATTAGGGATGATACTGTAGGGAAAGAGAGATTGTAGAAATCAATATATATATATATATATTCTTTACCATGTAAACGTTTAATGAGCCTTCTCTTCCAATAAAATAATTCTTCATTGTAAATATTCTTTATCATTTATGTTAATATTCTTTATCATTTATGTTTCAGCTGAGTATTATTTTTCTTTGCAAGACGTCAAAAGTGGCAACGTTTAAATGGTACTTCAACTATGGTTAACTGGATGTGGTTGGAAACTGCAAATGTATGCCTAGCGAGAAAAATTATTGATTTAAGCATCGTGTTCTCAACATGCTTCACTAGTCACTGGGAACAAGAAACGTTGTCAATGGATAGAGTAGATTTCTTTTATTTATTTCACTTCTGAAACCAAAACAATAGTTTGGCTGTGAATTCACACGAGAAACTCGCTCATTTTGAATTCATGTACTTGGGAAGTTCTTCCGATTTATTCATTGGCATTAACCCTAGATAAGTCTGATGATTTAGTAATGTTGAAACAAACGTAGTGAACCTAAGAACCACGATAGAAAATAAATATGTCACACAAAGATTAGATTTATGTGATTTGTCAAATTTTACATTCACAGTGAAAATTCAACAAAAAAATTGACTATGCAAAATAAATCTAGGTAAGTTTCAGTTTGGGAAGTTCTTCCGATTTATTCATTGGCATTAACCCTAGATAAGTTTCACACAAGTCTGACACATGAAAGAAAATAAACACGCCACACGCAAAGATTAGATTTACGTGATTTGCAAAAGTCTACATCCTTGGTGAAATTTTGACAAAAGAATTCACTATACAAAATCAAACCGATAAAAGAATTCACTATGCAAAAAACTGAATGAGTTTCAGCTACCTAGCTCCTAGCTCTCTCCCACTCTCTCTCTCTCCCCTCCCTGTTATTTCTAGTGTCTATCTCTCACTCCAGTGTATTTGGTTTGAATAATTTTAGGCGTGTGTGCCTAATTTCATGTCCTATTGAGAGGACCCCTGGGACAAAGTAAAATAAAAAAGCGCTTCTAAAGCCCGTTTAATTTGAATCTTCGAAAAGGAAAATTCTAATAAATCCACGACCAACTCTGCTTAATTAAACTGAGGCATGACCTAAAGAAATCATCCCATAACTAAATTCTTTCATCTCCAAAAATCTCGTTGTATCCCTATCATGTTCTCCACAGATTAAAATTCCACCTGGTTACCTCATCATATTTTTATTTATTTAAGTTGTTAAATGGTCTGCAAAATGAGTAAGAAAGCAAGAAAGAGATCAGCCCCTAGGATGAGAGACATACTCAATGATATATTTAAAGACGCACATAACAACCAAAATCCGAATAAATCTCAGAATTTTCTTTAAATGATCAAAATGGGAAAAACCGATATTGCGTAAAGAAATCTGAATACATCATAAGTTTCAAGTATAGAATTAACTCAAGTAAAACTGACAACATAAGTAGTAGTAATCTTGTAATACTACTATCATATATCTCCTTAATGGTAGTAGAAGGGCAAAGCAAAGAATCAGACTAACAAGCTACACATGGTAACCGACGCGCCCCCCCCAACACCTCCTCTGCTCTGTCCACAAAATCCACTTGGAGAACACAACACGAGGCCGTAGAACAATAATAAGCCAGCCAGGTTATAATATAATTAAATGAAATATATTTCAGCCCATCCAAATACCTGCATCGATCAATCAGATACACCAGCCTTGTTCTTCAAATGCTTCTTAAAGTCCATAATATCACCCTCCCACCTGGTCACAGCTTGATTTTCACACACCCATATCTCATGGGCCACCTGATTTATTAGCCTAAAATCATGGCTAACAAGAACCATACCACCATCCCACTCATTCAATGCTTCAGCCAGCGAATCAATCGTCTCAATATCCAAATGGTTAGTGGGCTCATCCAGCAACAGCATGTTGGGCGTCCTCCAGGCTAACCATGCAAAAATTACCCGGCTCTTTTGCCCATCCGACAAATTATTCATAGGCATTACCTGGGCTTTACCTGTAAGCCCAAACTTCCCGATCGCTGCCCTCATTTGCTCCTCCCCAGTTCCTGGATACTCTTTCATCATGTACTGGAGGGCAGGCATGTCCAAGTCAAGTTTTTCAGCCAAGTGCTGGTGGTACTGTGCAATTTTCAGGTGGTTGTGCCGCCGGACCATGCCATCAAGGGGAACCAAATCCCCCGTCATCAGCTTCAGCAGCGTACTCTTCCCAGCTCCATTGGGCCCCACCAGTGCCACCCGTGAGTCCAAGTCCACCCCAAAGTCGAGGCACTTGTAGATTAGATTATCGGGTGTGTAGCCAAATTTGACTTCCACAAACTGTAGTACAGGTGGGGGAAGCTTTCCCACATCAGAAAAGCGGAAAGTTAGAACCTTGTCCCTTGCCACCTTCTCTGTAAGCCCACCTCGCTCCATTTTTGCTAGAGTTTTCTCTTTGCTTTGTGCCTGACGAGCTAGTTTTGCTGACCCATGGCCGAATCGAGCAATATATTCCTTCATTGAAGCAATCTGTTCCTGCTCCCACTTGTACTGTTTCATCTGGTTCTCCTCAAGTTCAGAACGGGTTTGAATGTATTGGTCATAATTACCAGTATAGAGCTTCAGTGTCTTGCTTTGCATGTGGATTATGTTGGTGCAGACACCATTCAGGAAGTCCTGGGAGTGTGAAACCACCACAAGGATGCGATCAAAATTCTTCAAAGTTTCCTCCAACCAGACACAAGCTTCCAAATCTGTCATTAAAACATAAGTGAATATAAACATCAGGTTCATTAAGTTTGGTTAAATCATGTGAATCAGAAAGTATTATCATGAATCAATGCATAAGGACTGATAAATTCTTAGTAAATAGCTCTTAGAATCCCCAAACTGGAAGAAGAAACAAAGCATACATCATCTTGTAATGGAATTACTCTTATCCTTTAGATAACAGATATTTTCAACACAAATAGCAGTTACTAAGTGTAACCCCGTAACACTAAGCCACTAAGATAGCTGCAATTATGTTCAGAAAAGAGAGAATGATCGACACCATTATCTTGACCAAAAAAAAGAACTGTAGAAGGAGGTTTCAAACAAAAGGCAAATGCCAACTCTACATTTTTTTTTTTTAGAAAAGAAAAGAAAACCAAATATAGATGATGATTCAAAAGTAACAATAAAATCTGTATTGCCATGAGCAAGTTTACTACAAAAAAGAACTTACCAAGATGATTAGTGGGTTCGTCAAGTAACAGGATGGTTGGATTCATAAACAGAGCCCGTGCTAAAGCAATCCTCATCCTCCAACCACCAGAGAAATCACGTGTTTTCTTTGCTTGCATCTTCTTGTCAAAACCAAGACCATATAAGATTTCAGCAGCACGCTTCTCCGCAGTCGATGCATCTAAGGCATCCAAACGCTCATAAATACGTTCTAGAGATTCTCCACCACCATCATCCTAAAACCAAACAAATAATACAATGTTCATGACTGCTGTTCCTGAAAGGACTAAAGACCTAAGAGAGATTAATTCAGTAACTCGTGACACACCTGTCCCGCCAAGGCTTCAACTTCCTTCTCCAATTTCATCCTCTCCTCGTCACAATTTATAACAGCCTCAAGTGAAGACATGTCAGAAGCTTCAATCTCCCTACTGAGGTGAAAAATATCCATGTGTTCTGGAATGGGAAGTTCCCGGCATCCTATTGAAGTAAGAAGGGTAGATTTCCCGCAGCCATTCAACCCAAGCAAACCATAACGTCTGAAAAAATTGAAATGTGGTGAATGGGATATGAATGCATCAAATAGCTAATTCATATGGAAGCAATATAATAATGTCAAGAAGCATAATTCACAAACCTGCCATAATTAAGCTCCAGCTCAGAATCAACAATTAGATCATGTCCATGGAAAGTAAGTGATAGAGACTCTATCTGCAACAGCCATACATAGATCAGTTTATCATCTATATCACAAAACTAAACAGATTGAGACAAATTAACTAACATTTTTCTGAGAAAGGATATCCATGCACGTATTTACCTCCTACACGGGAGTTCCAAGAAGGTTGAATATATTGGATATATTCACAAAAGAGAATGTTCAAGTAATTAACCCTGGCAGAGCACACTGGTGGCAGACCCGTCTGCTTGCCTAGGCGCTCGTCTAGATGCATGAAGCTAGCAACAATAAGCTAATTGTGAGACTTGCTACAATGAGAAAGTCTACAATAACTAAAGAACCTTATAGGTCGCATATGTCCAGCAAAGATGAAAATTAAAAATCCTGGGACCCAACAACTAAGGACCCAGCTAAGAGATCCAAAATGCACAAAATAGAATAACCGAGGGACTCGAGACTTTCTCACTTTAATTTGAAAGTAATTCCATTTTCAAGTGTCCAAAAAACATTAGATCAGATTAAAAAAGGGCCCACGCTTCTTCCAAATTATGGATATTAATAACCACATCATTATAGTGTGTTCTAGCTATGTATATATGAACTCCAAAACTTGAGATAATAGATACCAACTTAGTATTCTAAATTCTTTTAACTTTATTTTGTATATGGTTAAAATCAAAAGATAAGTCTTTGAAAGTATTTCCTTTTCCTGGAAAGCAAGATCTCCAGAATTTAATCAAATTAAACTTGACAAAATCATACAGTAAAAGCCAACCTTCCAACATGTAGAAAAGGTTATACAACATGAATAATACTCTGTTACACAGTGCTAAATGCTTCAGTTGCTCCCTCTCCCACTTGAACAGAAGAATTTCCTAGATAGTAAAAGGCCACAATAACACAGCAGGTGCCAACCCTCCAGTTCCACCAACTAGCAACAAAGATGGAATCAAAAAGTCCAAGCGCTCCAACTGACATTCTAGTACAATTCATAAACTTTGAGACTTAGGTGTGCCTCCTCTTCTATTGGGGGTTCGTGTTAAGGATACCAAAAAAACTAAATAAATCTTATAAACACAGCATAAAAAGAAGAATCCCATTTGGTGAACAGAGTTTATTAAAACTAAACTTCCTTGGATGAGATTTAACATTCCAGTTGGTGAATTATTTTTCACAAGATACTTTCACATTTTTCTCCATTTTATAAGGAATTTGATTTAAAATATATTTGTTGCTTAATGAACTCAAGATGGTTCTTGAAGTTATCAATGAAATAAATGGGACCAAATTGAATGATGGGATTCACTACCTTAGTTATTTTTATACAAAAGTTCCAATTACTTCATCGTGTATTCTCAAATTAGGGCTTTGTTCTTTTCTCCTGCTAACACCCATTTAAAATTTTCTAATGGTAATAGAACATAGTTATATACATCATGTTGGAGTGCGGTTTCCTCGTTGTATTATTATATATCATTTCATTAATGTTATAACCATTTTATCCCGAATAAGACAACCATATGAAAGCTGCCAATTCCAACCAACATCCATGTACAGTCCATACATGATATCACTAACTGCCCACCATATCTTCTCTACCTTCTTCTTCCGCCATCTTTGTTTTGGTACAATTTTCAGTGGCATTTTTCAATCTTCTTATCTGTCATTTAGAAAAAAGTAACCCACCAAAACTTTCCACTCACTTATTTTAAAGAATTCTCATTAGTCAACTTTGCCATGCTTGCTTGCACCTATCAGCGGATTCTATTGCCCACCAACACAAAAAGTGATGAAGCAGTCATTACCTTCCAACGAGTCCATGGCAAATTTACAATCATAACGCATGCTAACACCTATAGTTCCATTAAAAATTCTAGGGAAACTTTACCTAAAATACTGAAATTAATTAATTCTTCAGAGATCGCATTCTCCAACAAAACAAACAGAGCCCACGTTAAATCATCTAAAATTAACACAAAACATAGCAATAAAAGTATAATAATCAATAAATAAAAGAAGAACTACAATAATCAATAAATACAAGAACTACAATAATCAATAAATAAAAGAAGAACAAGGGCCGATTTTAGACGATTGTCAATTATACCCAGAACCAGTAGAAAGAAAATCGAAAAATTATTATGCTGATACAGGAAAACCTAATCTCCACCCTTCAACATAACAATCTAAAACCGGTAATGGCAAATAGATCGGATGACTCACCCGAATATCTCTGGAGAGAGGATGCGAGCAGAGTACTCCGGTACAAGTCCGATCTGATATTTGAAGCGCCGCCACTCCATTCGCCAAGTTATCGGCACTACCGTTGGCGGCGACGGTCGCCTTCGACGACGCAGCGGTTGCTGCAGCCTTCCCTCCTCTCTTCGCGGCAGCCGCCGCCTTCTTGGCCGCCGCCTTCTTCTTGCTCGCGTCAGACACCATCTTTTTCCACCAAGAATCAGAATCAATCAAAATCTCCACAATAAAAGAAAACCTATAAATCAGGTAGAATAAAACGTACCTTCAAAAATCGAGAGGAGAGGAGGTGAGATCGGAGCTTGTTTGGACACAGGAATAGAGAGATCTAGGGTTTTGTGTTTTATTGTGTTTTGTCTGGTGGAATGAGAGAGCGAGGAGGATATTTGAGGTTTTGATGAGAAAAGTGTTGTCAGGTGGCGAAACAAGGCACGGCAAGGTCGGTTAAGTTGAAAAAGTCGACAAGGTTTCGGAGAATTGAAGTACGACGTCGTATGTGTTGGGTAGTTTTTCTTTCTTATATCATAGACCTCAGGATATTCTCTGATAAAAACTAAAAGATCTCAGGATATTTATCTGAACACGTTGTCCTATTTATCTAGATTTAAGTCATCATGGTTGGGTATAATTGCTATATTTTTTTCTAATTAAATTTGAAAAAAAAAATGTTTATACTTAAATGACATAGATAATGTCTAATGAGCATAAAAGTAGTAAAATCTAAAATTTAATTAGGCTGGAGCCCGTCTAAAGCACTTTCACACTATTGTGTTATACTAAATATATGTGTATATATAAAATATTTTAAATATACATATACTAATGACCATTATATATCTTTTGGAATAATAAAAATGTAATTTTACTAACGCAATAAAACATTTTTGAATTATATTAGTCTTATTTCTTTTATTTTATAGTATATTTTTTATTTCTAAAAAAATAAGACGTGAGAAATCTATAATATTTATTATAAATTCTTAAAGGAATATTGTTTAATTGAGAAATTGTTACCACCTTGAAGATTTACAAATTGAATTTGAGGATTGACAAAATTGAATTCGCGAATTGAGGAAAAAGATGTGTTCTGTCAATCCGTGCGAGAAGCGTGAGAACAACATTCTGAATTGTGGGAGTTGGGTTTATATTATATTTTTTACACTTATTTTACAAAACAAAATGGCATAATTTTCCTTTAAAAAAATCTCAAACTGTATAATTATTTCAAAATGCATTCTGGGTAGTTTTGTCTTTTCATTTATTAAAGAAACACAAGTGAATCATAAGTGTATAGAAATTGAGTGCCAAATTGATCTCACTTAAATTTTTCTACATACATAAATGTATATAATCTCATCCAAAAACAATTGTATAATTATAATTATCATTTATATTTTGTTGGGTAGGAATGAAGGAACAGGTGTGGAGATAAGATAAGAAAGGAAAAAACAATTTTCATTGGCTCCATAGAAAGAAGAGAAGGGGAGAGAATAATTGAAGGTCATTGTTCCTCATTTGTAAAGAAGAAAGAAGGGAAAACAAGTTCAGGTTTTAAATTACTACAATCTTAAAGTATACAAACATATAATAAAAAAAAGAGAATGATACAATTTTTTCTTTAGGAATGTCTCGTCCAATCACTTATTCTTTTCCTTCCATTCAAATTTTTTTTCTTACCAAGCGAAACACTTAAGTCGTGACTCAAGCAAACTAGGTAAGCTAAGTCAAAGTGGCAAGTCTTTTTGACGATTTTTATTTATTTATTTTTTACTATTATTATTATTATTATTTTTGTCAATGGCAAGAAACACATACACTCCACTTACACACTTTTAAGGATTTCATATCCATCCACTTTGAAAAATAGGGGAGATACCACTATGTCACGAGGCCCTTGTTATAATTTCTAACGAGTTATTCATTATTTACAATAATCTATGTAATTTCACATAAAAAAAACATTGAAGTTTATGCATTAAACATTGAAATTATATATATTTAATATTTACTAAAACAAACGATACCATGCCATAATAGATTATAATAAAATCAATCTAACATAATATAATTTTATGACTTAACATTCATTTATAGGGTTAATTTCACTTATACTCGCTTAGGTTTGACTAAATATCACCATCAACCATCTTTTGAAATTAACTATCACTCAGATTCCAATTTTTTTTATCATTACTTTTGTCGTTAAAAATGTACAAAATGACAATTTTATCCCTATTTTTTAATATAATTTAAAACAAAATATGAAAAGCTTGAAATAACCAAATTGTCCTCATTTATTACTATGCCACCCCCAAAACTCTTCATCTCACTATTTTTTCCATAAATATATATGTTTTGGTTTACATGATGAGAAATATATATATATATATATATAATAATTTTAAATTTATATAATGAAATTCAAAGGGTATTCAAGTCATTTCAACCATATTTTATATCAACAGATAGTTAAAAGGGTAGCAATATCATTTTACATGCAAAAATGTATTGACACACTTTAAAAGTAACTTTTGGAGTGTAAGTGAAAAATGGATAAAACATTTGTAATGCGAGTGATGGTTATTTTCGAAAGATAATTTTATGTGATATTTGGCCAAATCAGAGGGGGTGTCAGTGAAATTAACCATAATTTATATATTTTGATAAAAACAAATGAGTCAAAATGATATGTACTATATGTCTCAAAATCTAGAACACATTCCAATAATTTTACACAATAAAAAAATAGTAAATTTCACCTATACCTTTTGACCTTTATCAATATTCCACCCACACTCTCTCTACGTTTTAATATTCCACTCACCTACCCTGAAGTTTTGGTTTACGTAACAAGTTACTCTCTATTGTTAAGTAACTACGATTTGTGCAGAGCAAAAAAAACAGTGAAAGGTCAAATTTACCTTTCCTATTGCCTAAAATGATATCTTTAACCTCGATGTAGAATTACAAAGCTACATTAGCTCTTTCGATCATATGTAGTTCAAATACACGAAAAAATTGTGAGTTATATATTTCGAAAATAAACATTTATTTTGAAACATAGGTAACACAGAACAAGGATCCTCTCCAGCGCAGGAGAGCACAAAATTTAATGATTGAGATTGCATCATCATTAATGGATTCCATTTATCAATTCAATCTCAACCACTGGATTCTGTGCAGGACCTCTCATGCGCTGAAGAAGATCTTGTCCGTACAATAAATAGTATAGAGAGAATTTGAGAGAGAGAGAGAGTACGGACAACAGACATCTTTAACAGCAGCTCATTGAATAACGGTAAGGCCAACACTGAGAGGATTGAAGTTCATAGCAGAGACTCCATAGGAAAACTTAAAAAATGACTGCTCTGTTTTATTCAAATTAAAATAGTCACTCTTATACTCAAACCCGTCAACCCATTTGCTAATTAACATAAACCCAGTAACAATTAGACCCCCCCAAAACACATAACTTTCCTCATTTCTCTCTTTCCCCTCTACTAATTAAGCTATTGCATTGGGTCACCGTGAGAGGAATAGCAACCCAAGGTCGCTGCCGATGAAGACTCGGGGGCGATAAAATACGTTGGACTTACCGGCACCGACGAGGTGTGTTGAAGTCCGGCCCCTCTGGTTTTGGCCGAAGTATTCATGGGTTGTGGCTTACGTTGCGTTCATGGAGCTTGGTTTGTGGTGGAGGCGGTGGGTCTTGGTGCGGCCACGACTATTGCCGTGAGAGAAACAGCTAGTGACCTTGGGTCACAAGAATGAGGAGTTGGGTCGATGTTAGCGACCCAACTTAACTAGAGAGGGACAACGACTTGGTTCCCCATCCATGGCTGCTAGACCTAATTGATCGGTAGAAGAAGGGTCGCTGCCCATGAGAGGGACGTTAGGTTGCTGTTACTCCGACAAGGTGACTACATGTTGGAAATAGTGGCATAGATACACACACAACACTATAATATTTTGAAGAGAATAAAATGAAGGAAAATACTTTTATCTCACTTGATTAAAAATAAATAAAATACATCAGATTATATAGGCTTCAAAACATATATGTAAATGAAAATTAACACCCCACTAACATAACATTTAGTAGGCATAACTCCCACTAACATGACCGTTACTGGTTATAACTCTCATGCCTCCCACTAACTCCAATAAAAAAACTCACATAAATATAAAATTAAACACCAAATAAAAAAACACTTATGACCTTCAAAGATAACAAAAATTATAATCAAGTTTAATTTCTAACACCCCCTCTTAAACTTGATTTTTTTTTCAACTCCAAGCAAACTCATTAACTTGTGAAATTCTGCAAACTTGAGGGGCTTGGTGAAAATATTCACAACTTGATCTTATGACTTGATGAACTTGAGCTCCACCCCCTTCTTGGTTATGAATTCTCCAATGAAATGAAATCTTGTATCAATATGCTTGCTTCGTTCATGAAACACCGGATTCTTGGCTAAAACAATTGTTGATTTGTTGCCCACAAAAATCTCCGTTGACTCTTTTTGTAGCATGTGTAATTCCTTCAACAAATTCCTTAACCAAATTGCTTGACAAACACATAAAGTGATTGCAACATATTTCGTTTCACAAGTTGAGAGGATGACAATGGGTTGCTTCTTTGAACACCATGTAAAAGCAGTTTTTCCTATAAAAAAACAATAACTAGAAGTACTTTTACTATCATCCAAATCTCCGGCCCAATCACGATCACAATAACCCACAAGCTTGAAATCATTAGAAAATGAATTGAATAATCCAAAATCAAATGTACCTTTAATGTAACGAATAATCCTCTTAATCGTCCTGAAATGAGTTTGTGCACGTTAAGTATCTCAAGCTTTTAACAAGACTTTTGAAAAATGTTGGATCCACCATCTCTCCATCTTTATCTCTTGACAATTTAATTCCAACTTCAATGGGCGTGTTTACCAATTTACAATCTTCCATCTTGAATTTCTTGAGAATTTCCTTAGCATAGCCTTATTGGTGAGTGAAAATTCTATCCTTCATTTACTTGACCTCAATGCCAAGATAATAAGCCATGATGCCATTGTTCGTCATCTTGAACTCTCGAGCAATAAGCTTCTTAAAACCTTCAAACATGTTTGGATTGCTACATGTGAAGATTAAATCATCCACAAATAAGCAAAAATAAAAAATAAAATAAAATAAAATAAAATAAAATTATATCTCCATTCTCACTTACTTTGGTGTAAAAAGTATGTTTATATGGGCACTTTGAAAAATTATTACCTTAAAAATATTTGTCAATCCGCTTATTCCATACCCTTGGTGCTTGCTTCAAGCTAAATAAAACCTTATTCAATTTCAAGACTCTGTTTTCTTACCCCTTTATAACATAGCCCATGGGTTGTTGAACATACACCTTTTATTCAAGAAAGTCGATTTCACATCAATTTGG